AGATAGATAGATAGATAGATAGATAGATAGATAGATAGATAGATAGACAGACAGACAGACAGAGGTCTAAAAATAATTTAGTCATTATAAAAGAATAAAAGATTATCTGCATTTTGAAATCTTTCAAACTAAATGCTATTTAGTATTTGAAATGATTTCTGTAACATGTCAAACGTTTACTTTAATTTTAGTTGCAATGTGTTTGTGATTGGAAGGAAAAAATATGCTCCCAGCAAAAACAAGTGAATCTGAAGTTAAAATTTCAAACTTTTGGCTTGATCTAAGAGTTGGAATATATGAGTAATTTTGCAAACAGAATCTATTTGTAGAAATTAGAACATCATCAATAATATTCAGGATTAGCAGCTTCTGTATTAATTTTGACACTCCAGAGAGGAACAAATTCCAGATGTAGAAATGGAGACTGAAACCATGTGAGAGTGCATCACAACCATGAGCACTAGATTCTAGAACCATGCTCCTGAGATTCAGACTAGAACAAACAGAATCAGATCATCTGCTTAATATTTGGTCCTTCAGTATGCCTGGTAAAAAAAAAAAGCTGGCAATCAGGAAAAATAAATAGCAGCCAAAATGTCAGTCTCCTGAGACAACATTTATTGTCTTTGCTGGATTTCCAAAGTAATCACTGACAGCTCATAGTTTAATAGAGCTGCAAACATCCTAATTAACAAACCAAAAGGAAGCTGAATTATTAATGTTGTGGGATTCAAGGTTCATTGCACTTCATCTCAGCTGACTCAGCTTCACAACTTGAATATTTAACATAAAACATCCTGCTCTCTGTTGCATTCTCATATCTAATATATACACATTAGTTAGTCTGGTTTTTTCTGTTTTAACATACTGTCCCTGTAAAATCCACTTGTAGGACATATTTTGTTTTATAAGCAGACGACCCCCCCCCAAAAAAAAAACCACCGCAAAAATGTAAAAACAAATCTTGTTATGGGGATATTTACTTATAATTGAAGAATTCTGAGCCTAGGAATGCATTTTGAGTACCAAATTTAATTGAATTTAATTCTGCCCCAAATTTTCTTTCTTTATTTTAGATATACTATATACATCGTACCGTACACTATATTTCATTATCTCTCTCAAATAACTTAATAGTAAGAAGTTTTTGCTACATTATTTCAAATCTGCACTAGGCTGCATTGGTTGCCAGTTTGCTTCCGGATTCAATTCAAGGTATTAGTCATTACTTTTAAAGTCCTACACTTCATGGGTTCAGGGTATCTGAGGAGTGGTCTCACCCTGATGGGACAAGCCTTCCCCAGTCATGCCTATGGAAGAGGCTTTCTATGAATCCTGTCTAAGGAAACAAAAGCATATGGGATGAAGTAGGAGAGTAGAAGAGCTTTTTCTGCTCCATCCACCATCAGAAATGAGAACTGTCTCCTCCCTTTTGGCCTTCAGGAAGGGTATCAAAATCTGGCTTTGTTGATTGATCTGGGTCCGAAGGGAGGAACTCACTGCTAAAGGCAGCTGATGGAATAAGACCTCAACCATGTCTCATCCATCTCTTGGCTCTTGTAGGTGTGATTTTAGTGCAGTTTTTAATATTTTAATGTTGGTTTCTTTTAATCTTTTAACTATTTTTCACTTGTTTTACAATTTGTAAGCCACCCAGAGTCACCTTATAGGAGAAATGGGGAAGGAAGGGAGGAAGCAAAGCGGAAAGAAAGAAAGAAAGAAAGAAAGAAAGAAAGGAAGGAAGGAAGGAAGGAAGGA